CAGGTCTCGAAGGTTCGGTCACACGCAAAGTCCTAGGCTTTCCTTTTAAAGGAAATTTCTTGTCAATCGGGTCCTTGTGGTGAATTGGGTCCTCCACTTGTGGGAAGTGATAGCTACAGCCTCTTGGCATACTGAGAGTGAGCTAGCCTTAGGCTGGGCCCTGCGACGTTGACGTGGACTGTGATACCTATACAGCCCCTGGAGTAGGCTAGCCTTAGCTGGGCCCTGGGCGTTGAGCCGACTTGTGGACAGTGATGATAGCTACAGCCTTGAGCCAACTGAGTAAGCTAGCCTTAGGCTGGGCACTGGGGTGCTGAGCCCCCCGGGTTTGTGGACAGTGATAGCTACAGCCTCTTCGCATACAAAACTTATCGGGGTGTAGGGCCCCCCATGACTTGTGGACAGTGAGAGCGCAGCTTCTTCCCACGTTATATGCGTAAATTTTAGCCTTAGGTGGCCACTGGCGCACGTGGCCAGCACATGGCTTGCCACTGTTGTTCTTGAGCCTTTTTCTTTGGTCACTATGTTACAATTTCCGTTCCGGGGGAAGAATATTGATTCTGTCCACCGCATTGTTCAAAGCCTTCCTGGTTCATGTGTTTTCCTAATAATCTGATCGGAATTGATGCCCTAGTTTTGTTCATAGACACCGTTCCGTCCTGTATGTGCGGCCTGTCCAAAAGTCAAGTCCAGTCACACGAACGCGCGCACACACACACATTGTTGCCAAAATGCCAACGTCAGGAAAACAATATGTAACATTACATACTCAGCTTACTACGCGCAACAGTCGGTAGAGTCTGGGTGGCTATTGAAATATCCAGCACAACAGCTTAATATTTTAACTAAGTGTTGGTACGGGCTTGATTGTCTATTTTATGTGTGATTTCAACTGACAGCCTCCCCTAGAACCAAAAGTATTCAAAAGTAACGACCAAACAGAGAGAAACAAATATCCGAAAAATTGGACAGACTAGAATAAGCCTCTCCTTTGAAAACAGCTGAACCACTCAAAATCCCTTCCTGTATCTAGCGACTCTTTCATCAAGTGCAACTCAACATGAGAGCACCCCTGAGCGATTGAAGTTTTCTCGCTGGCTCAAAGCGACAGGCTGTCAGCGTCAGGAAACCTAAGACCTAGTCAACTTCTTCAGGGTCTGCAGGTGGATCCTGCTCAATTTTCTCTTCTTCCTCGCCTTCGGCGATTTCGTCGTCCTCCTGAGTCTGAGGCTCTTGAGGCTCTTGAGGCTCATTTACCTCTGCTTCAGGCATCGGCTCAGATGTGCCCTCTGCACACGGGTCTCGAGGCCCAACAGTATTCACCATCGCAGCCTCGGTTTTAGATCAATAATTTATGTTGCTGTCACTGCGAATTGAAGAAACGAACAAACTTTGCAATCAATATGGTATTCAGTTACGTCCTCTCCCTTGCAATCAACTGTTGATTGATGTTAACCTAAGGCCAATTGGTCCCTAAGAGACAGTAAGCAACTGGCTACGCTAGTCAATGCCCGGGTTATTAAACGTTGAAACATGGTTTGTTCCCGAGGAGAAGGAAACGTGACCGACCATGTCCGTCGAGAAACTCCATCAGATTGAAAAGTATCTGGCGAGACTTGAACCCACTTGATCGCTCCCAGCGGGTGCTCGTACGGCTTTGGCATTTGATACTCGCACGCACGCTCCAAAACCCAGGCAAACACAGGGTTCGAAACGAATTGGTTCAGATGTTGCTGGGGAACTTGGTGTTGGTCAAAGTTTGCTGCAAGCGCGTTTGCATCTAGCTTCAGCACGTCCACAAGGCTTGCTTCTCCAAGGATTGTTTTGGAGCCCGACAAGGCGATTCCAATCCGTTCCCTGATGTCTGTGTTTGAGCTCCGTAACTCCCATGTCTTCACGCCCCTGACAATTTGCTGCGCAAATGGGGGCTTTACCACCAACAGGCGGCTTGGGCACCCCAGTTGTCGATCCTGCAAATGGCTCGCTACAAATACAATATTAAGATGCAGTTGCCACGGTTCAACAATATGGTGTCGAGCACATGCAAAACACGGTGGGTGGACAGGCAACCACACATAAAGGCTGCCAAGCCGCCACCATGGATCTCACAGCTTCAAGGTCAACTCCCTTGATCAACTCAGAAGCGGCCAAGTCTATGATCTCCTTGCACTTGGCAATATTCTTGTATTTGCCGCCAACCTTGAACCCAAAAAAACTACAGAACCTCCGAAACAAGAGCCAACTCTGCCTTGACACACAAACTTGAAAAACAGAAGCAAACACTCAACACTGCAGCATTGGGTGAAATGCAAAACAGAAGCCGTCAACACTTGCTTTCCATCAATCTTAAGCCCCCATATGCCAGTCTTGTACAAATACGGCGTACCAACTCGTCCTCCAGTATTCGTTTTTTCAGGCACAGCCAAGCAGAGCCAAGTCAATTTAACATGCACAACAAAGAACTCAGTAACCCGGACAAACAACGCCGCAGCAGCCTCCTCCTGTGGTTTTGCATGCGGCTGGCTTTCGGAGGGCGCCCTTCCGCGTCTCAGGCTTCTTCATCACGGTCGAGCCCTCTAGAGGCCCTGCGCCCGACACCTCCATTGGCCCAGCTGAGCCAGATGAAGGTCCACCCTCCACTGGTGGTTCAGGCAGCATTTCGGAAGGTTCTCCTTCAGAAGGCTTTGGTTTCTTTTTGGGTAAAGTCTTGGCCACCTGTTTGGCCTTCGCCTTCGGTTCTCCTTTCGCTTTTGGTTGTCCTTTTGCTTTCGCTTTCGTTTTAGCTTTGGGTTTTGCAGTCGGCGCAGGCATGGGCTCGTCCTGCAAAGCTGCAAAGTAAAGGCATTGAGCACAAACAATTGGCGCTAAGACCTCACCCCAAAAACCCAGGAGCCTCAGAGCCACTGAGCTGATCGATCGCGTTGATGACAGGCATCCGCTCAGTAAACAAAAGCAGGGGACGAAATTTCACCTGTCACTCAGGGCTTGAGAGAGGATGTCACCTGTCAACGGCATGGTTGAGGGTGAGCAGGGATTCTGAACGAACGAACTGCCAGCTGCTCTCATCAAAAACCTTTCAAAAACGGTCATTGGGGTTGATGGCCAACCACCGCAAGCACGAATCAGGTTTGTTCACAGTCCAGACTGCTGAATCAACTCAAAAACACAAACGATGAACTGCAAGTTCCGGCCATGCCCCGAGCTGTCAAATCAATTGCTATACCAACTTGCTGCGTTGATGAGCCTGAATACCATAATATATATATATATGTACATCTGTACAAAACGAGTTGGAGTTTTTACTGTCATTCTATGCCTCGTACTACATAAATCAATCGCCTAGCTAGCACAGCCAAGTTGGTCTCTACTCAAGAATTCGCTGACAGATTCACCCAGCTTTTTGCTGGGGCATTGACGCAAGCTGTGAGAAAAATCTTCGGCTTTGCGCACACGGTAGGAGGGGCGGACGAATAGTCCACCTCCCGGCAAACGATATCTGACGGTGCCAGGCACCAACAGCCACGCAAAATTCTACAACAAAGCAGGCCTCCCACACCAATCGGAAACGCTTGTTCGTAGTAGAAATCTTGCTGAAATGGCCTTGCAGCCTCAACTAATGAGAAAAGGGCAACTGAACCCACCTACAAGAAACAACTAATCTCACACACTGAACACATCAGAACTTATTGCAGTGTCTTTTTGACGGGCAACACCTGGCCAAGAGATTGCGGTCGAAAGATGGTGGTGCCTTGCGTCGACTGTTCCGACCGTGGCCGGAAAACATGCGTCACCTTCGACTCCTTCGGATGGATCTCATAGCGGAACGTCACAGGCACAGGATCTTCACCGGTTGCCTCATGCACGTAGCTTGTATTGTGTTTTGATATGTTTTGATCCATGAACATCAGAAACATGGTGAACAGCTATCAGAAACATGGTGAACAGCTGACACGATTGAAATACCGAGGGTCTGGATGGTACTTTTGCTTCAACTGATGGTCTTCGACCTGCACTTCACCAAATCCCTTCTCAATGGCAAGGAATCGAAGGTACGAGCATAGCGGGTACACTTCCATGTTGTAGGCCACCAAATCCAGATCCGTGCGCAAACAGAAGGGCAGGACATTGCTCTCTGCATTGGGATCGCCTTTAAAAAATGTGATGGAGCGAAACATATAGTGAGTTTAACTAGTTTCCTTTCCTGCAATTTTGGTGTGCAGTAGTTTGTTGAACAATGACTTGACTGCTTGAAAAGGGAACAATACGACAAATATTCATTGCGAGTCACTCGCAACTTTCTCCTCAAACGCACCAACACCAAATCCGAACAGCTCTTGACACTTGAAAGTCATGTCCTCATCCGCCCCATTCCCCAACCAGATGTTGAGGTTCGAGGCAATCAGCACTGCTGGTTTCCCAGCTTTGCTCTCTGACATGCCCAGCCTGGCAGGTGAAATACACGACTGACACACACGCACGCACACACGCGCGCAAGATCACAAAACAAGTCTTTGTGGCTGGGCCACGCAGACTTCAGGCAGAACAAAATGTAGAGTGTATGTGAGGCAGTGAGGCCTTCCGTTCCGCTCAGCTTCGAAGTCAGCATCAGTCACGGCCGCTAAGGAAATCTCGCGTTGGACGTCCAAGGGCTCCAAGCCACCGTCTATCGAAAAGTCGCACAGGCCTCCTGCACGCTGCGGCTGTCCTGAAGTTCTGCCAGGAGCCGGGTTCCTGGTCTCTGCAGCCGACTGCGGAAAAGCAGCATCGAATTCGGCCTTCTTGGCCGCCATCATTGAGTGTTCTTCCGTCCCCGGATCAAAGCGACTCAGCAAAGGCCGTGGCCAAACTGCGCGCCCTCCTTCAAAGGCAAGAATTTGTAGCTCCGGGGGCGGCTTGCTCTCCTGCTCATCCGGTGGGCGTGTCTTTGCCGGAGCAGCCGAGGATTCATCCCAACCCTTGTAGACATAGTCCCGCAAACTTCGCGTAGCTCGCGCGACCTGCTTCGCGTTCAAGAAGCCCACATACAGCACTTTGCGGGCATTCTTCCAATTTCTCTCTGCGCACGCTCTGCTAAACTCGGCAAACCTCGGCAAACTGATCCATGTTGCGGGTTTGTTTTTAAAGTGCGTTGGCACGTGGGAGTTGGGCGGGCAGCAAATTTTGAAAGGAACCGAGCAAAACTGGGAACCTCTACTGCCCCCACAAACGGCATGACAGAAAAAAGCAAACGACTAACGTAACCCCTTCATCAATTAAGATATTAAATCCTACCGGCAGGATTCCCAATGTAATGTTGCGAAAAGCTCCTTTCCGCGCGGAGATGTGTCATGGACGCACAAGCTTGACATACACGCCCTTGAGGTAACAAGCACAGCATCGATTAGTTAATGAATGTTAATGATTTGTCTATGACACGCACGTGTGCTGGATAATAGGCACAAAATGATAATTGCGGTAAACATGTTGACCTATCACATACAGGCCCTTAGTGAAAGTCCTTCGACACAAAGAATGCCTTCAAAAATCTCATGGGCGTAGCCAAAGAACTCGTTGGGCACCAAGTCTATCCAGAACACACGGTCGCTGTCGGTCAGCTGCATCCCGTCCAAAAGACCGTCAATCATAGCATCGGCGCACTCGATACCCTTCCTCACGCACTGACTCGGTTTTTACTTCTTTTGGAAAGCCCAAAATGCTATTGTTTTGATTGTGACAACATCACCCCCACAACGGCGGCCCGGCCAACTGGACGACATATCTACTTAATTCAAAACATGAACCATGACTAGCCAGGGAAGCGAGTTGCTTCCAAGACAAGTTGAGAGGCCACAAAGGGAGGGCGTTAGTAAGCTTGCTTACGCGCGCCCTTTGTGGCCTCTCAAGGTTTTCAAGAGATGCGTTGACGCAACGAAAAAGTTTGCAACAACTCGTCAAAGCACAGCTCCGCTTGGAAGCAAAAATCAACACCAATAATACCCCAACCTGTCTCCTACCTCAGGTCAACACTGAGAGTTAGTAAGCACTCCTTACCCAAAGCAGCTGAGGTTTAAACCAGTATTCAATATAGTCTAACATAGTACTTTAACATTATAATATGGCCCACGCAACAAGTAAGTGGTGGTTTGGGGTCTTGAAAAGCTGTCATAATACTTTCTGCAAGCTGCTGCTCTGCCCTCGCTGAAGCCCCAGGCTTGGAAGTGTCATCATACCCTTGGAAGTCCGCGATCTTCAACAATGGGCAGGGGCCCACCTTGCCCTGTTTGACGGCCTCTGACGATGCCCACGCAGGATCATTGTAAGTCTGGTGAAATGTTGCAAGAGCAGGTTGGGCCAACGACCGCGAGTCTTTGGCTGTACTCGTAGGTTTTGTGTACAGAACTTGCACACTGTTTCCCAGAGACACCTGGCCCTTCAACAGTGCCAAATCCAAAAGGTGTCTGCGCTTCACCATCGCTTGTTGCGTCGTTTGGCTCTGCAGAATAGGGTACAACACCCATCCCATGTGCGTTGACGACATCGCCAACAACTGTGACAGCACACTCGTCGCGTTCGACACTTGTGATGCGTTCGCGGGCCAAATCGTTGCGTCAAAGGACACCACAGCATACCTACAGACTCGGCAGCGCAACAGTAACAGCCTACTGCTGAGGAACTATTTGTTGTTGTTGGTTTCTCAACTGCATGGTTATATACTGTACCTGTTCTTTCGAACCAACCACTTGTTCCAGCCTTCACCCCTCACAGGGTAGGCACAATCATGCGCCCACTCTTCTATATATCATATCGTATCTGAAAACCGAGTTTAGGGTTTGTTCAGCGGCCACAATGCGGGCGGTATAGCAGGTGGTGGCCTAAACAAAACGATGACTGCAGGTGGCCTCCAAAAATAACATCTCAACACCCCAAATATATCCGAATATATATGTGTATATACAGGCCCCGTCGCCAAATTTTGAGACAAGAATTCACGGGATCCCCGAGCAAAACGGAAAAATACAAAGCAACAATTTGCTACCAGGAGGCTCCCCTCCTGGCCGGCCACGGAATTGCTCCTTGAAAGTCAGAAAGCCTGCCACTGCTCCCTGCAAGGTCTCGTCCACTTGAACAAGGCAGCAATGCTCCGCCATCCAGCGATTCACATAGGCTTCGCCCTTCCTGGGTCGGTGACTGGCGCGGCAAGCTTCAAACTCTCAACTCATCATGGGCGCGGTTTCCCAAACACGAAAACCGCCGGCGGGGGGAACAATTTAAGACAAGGATCTGTTGCCTGTCGCGCAGGTACTTAAGGTCTTTCGCGTTCTTGAGAGCAGCTTCTGTTTCATCTGGGAAGTAGCCCTTCAACATCGCCATGTCCGCCTCAATCTTCAACAGCGCTGACTTGCAGTCTGCCTCCCGTAAGTTCTTCTCAGCTTCGCTCTCTTTCGCCTCCTTTTCGATGCGCCTTGAGCTCTGTACGCTGGCCACAAATGGCCTGCCAAGGCCATGGAAGAAAACCCCGATGTTCACAGAAAAAGGAAATTCAAACGATGTCCAACAAAACTAACCCATACGCATACGATATACAATGTATTTAGCTACAATTTGCTGAAACACAAACTGCAAATTTTTGCTCGCCTGAATGCAGCCACTGCAGACGGATCACCAGGAGGAAAGGAATTGGCCAACACGTGCTGTAGATCTGGGTCCATGTACCCAGACGCGAACTGCAGCCTCAGACTCCTCGCTGCTTCCTCGTAGTCCGACGGAGGGCTCATGAGCTTTAGCTGCCGAAGGAAATGCAAGAACCCTCCGCAGCACTGAAGTTTCTCCAAGGCTTCCTTGAAACTGAAGGCCTTCTTGCTTGGCAGGGCATCGTGATCGCTTTGAAGCCGCTGCACCATAAGCATCACCTTAACACACCAAGCTTGGCGAGAAGCACCCAAACAACTGCAGAGTCAACTGACAAGCGCAAAAACTACAGTAAACTAAAATGTAAGAAATCCAAGAACTTGGAACGAGCGACGAGCTCATCAGTGTTCCGAAGTTCTTCTTTCCAATGTTCAAGCCCGCACACTCCAGAAGTGTAGGATCGGTTGAGCAGGTCTTTCCCCAACACATCGTGGCTGATGTAGCGCCACATGCCCCTTGAGCGGACGCTGTTGGTGAGAAAGGCTGCAGCATCCTCTGGCACATTGACCATCAAGTTAGACACCGCCGCAGCTTCGCTCTTGCCTATAGTAAAGGCGCGAGCGATGGACGTTGCTTGCTCCCATTCCTGCATCACGTCGGAACTCGTAAGTCTTGTCTAAACTTCTCCAGATGGGTTGACAGGACACAAAACGAAGTTGAAGGTGGAACCTAAAATAAGGTCCTTATATTAACCGTCGTTTTTGTTTCGTGTCGGTGTTCTCACGAGGATCGAGACCGCTCAAAACCTTGAAGCGAAGCCAAAAGAAAAATGGAGCAAGTCTAACAGTTATAAAATCTCCTTGAATTGTCGTTCAGCATTCCCTGCGCCACAACGCTGAAGGATTTGCACTTGTCGATGAAAATGGAAGCAATTTGGGCGAGTTCGGGTTGCGCTCTTTTCCAGGCTGACCCCTGCATCACGGCAAAGGCTCAAAAAATAGCAACGAGGCTCACATGTTTGGGTCAATAACTTTCCACTTTGAGTCCGACTCACGCATCTAGAAAAGGTATTGATATGTTAGAAGGGATTTGTGAGGCTGACCCGAGATCAGGAGTTTGCATTTTGGACGTGGCCAACCCAGGGTTTGGGCGCAAGTGATGGGCTGATAGAACAGCAATAACCCTAACCGCGCCTCGGCTGGCTGCCACTTGCGCCCGGACGTTGTTGTACTTGTTGAAAGAAGCATGGATCGTCCCCCAAGAAGCCTCCAAACACGTTGGACATCGCAAGGCGCCCTCCGATACTTACTGTACCCAACCAATTGCTCCGTGAAAATTGCAATCTGGAACCATCGTTAGGATAGGAACAATATTTCCGCCTGCCTTGATAGCATGCGAAATTGAATCTTGTAGCTGCAGTTCTCTCACACCATGTAGAACCAGCAAAAGCATGGTGCACCGTTTCCAGCCCTTCGTGTACCCAACGCTAAACGGTGGAAGGAGCACACCTCAATTCAAGCAAAGCCCAGGGTCTCCAACAATTGAGGGGGGCATGAAACAAATGGAACCTTGTACGGACATCGCCTTTTCAAACCGATGTTTCTGGCTGAGAGGCCATCGAGTGACGGCAATGCCACATACTCAGCATCGAGATACTCTTGAGGAATCTGTGTTGCTGCGACTTTCTCACAGCCAGGAAGGTCGGGATCAGACAAGAACCTCGGCGATAAGCACTGCGCCAAGTGTATGTAGTTTTTTTTGGTTTGGTGACACATACTGAGTAGATTAAATTCAAATGTCCCGGGCACCCTTCGGAGAGAATTAACTCCATGAGCATCAAAGCCAAGTCTGGCTCGAAGAACCCAGAGCACCCTGTGTCTGCGCGCCAGGCGCACATGTAAGGGCGTAGGTGCGAAGCATCTGAATAGTTCGTGGCGTAATGGAGCCTCATGACTGCTGAGCAATCTTGACTCTCCCTCGTGCAGCAAACGATTGGCTCAGCCCCAAGCTGATTGTTTGGAGGACAGAAGGCATCCACCCATCGGGCAAACTCGACCATTTTGTCCTGTCAACGCAAGACGTTTCCTTTACTAATGCTGTTACTTGCAGCGTCCTGTGTGTCGTAGAAGCTGGTCAGGTACCTGTCTGGCCCTCCCTTGGGCACGACTGTCTGTAGAAGCCTCGGTAAACTCATCACAGAATGGTAGGAGACAACGCGTCAACCAAAATGCACTCTTCATGCAACCCAAAAACCACTCCGTCATTTTGGCAATGTGTGGGGCCTCTGTCAACTTTGGCTGCTTGGCATCTGCTGGAGATGCCCCACCTTTGGACTTCCTTTTCACAGGCGGCATCCGGCGCCACCAAAACCGCTGGCGGTCTACCCTAGTTTGACCCAAAAGCCCTGCCCAAGATTAAGAAAGTCATAAAGGACCAAACTCAATGGGCATAGTGAATGTGACAAGACAGGTCGCACCGATCAAATACCGATTTAAATGGGATTTGTTCTTTAACTCTGCATACTCAATATTGGAAGACTGCGCACAAACACGTTCACGAATAACTTCTAAGTCTACTGCAAACCCCAAAAACACCATCAAGGCGGCTCAATCTGATCCATAGCGGCCCAGACATTAAAAAGTGACGGATTGCCAGCTTGCAAAAGTGACGGATTTGAGTTAAGAAGAAGTGACGGATTGTACCTACTTTCAGTCACTTCTTTCCTGTCCCTGTAAAATCCGTCACTTCTGTTCCACAAAAATCCGTCACTTCAAGACTCTCAAAATCCGTCACTTCTAATTTCCCAAATCCGTCACTTCGAAACCCTCAGCCCACCAAAACCCATCCAAAAAGTGACCAAAGTTAGGTAGCATCGGTCACTTTTCCAAAGATTGCTTCAGTTTGGGGATAGCATCGAGATGTATAGGTCAGTGCCTTTTTCTCAAGAAAGAACGATTTGTGACTGAAAGTACCTAGCTTTGGTCACTTTTAGACACTTCAATCTAACCTCCGGTTTGCGACGGGTTCCACCCACAACCACAAACAGCGACAGGCAAACTACACTGCCGCTCCCAAATTTTCAGGGGGCCAGCACGTTTAGGGTTTAGGATACCGACAAGTCGAGCTTCCAAAAGGACACTTTGCAGCTGCCAAATCCACTTTTCACTTCCGCCCCTTCCCCTTTCCCTTTGCCTTTCCCTTTGGGAAAGCTTTTGGCTTTGAGAGAGGCTTAGAGGCTGCATCACCTGCAGCCACAGCAGCCGACGCTGCCCTGAGCGCATCCGCCCATGGGACGCCCAATGACCATGCACGGGCAGCAATTTGATGCACAAGTTGCGTCCGGGCTTTCGCAACATACCTCGCCACAAGCTTCTTGTCATCCTTGTTCGCGGCCACAATCCTGTGAGCAAGTCGGTGTTGAACAGCTTGCAGGGTTGTTTACTGGCAACACTTGTCACCGCATTTCTTTAAAAGAACCACAGCTGGTGCATGGGAAGAGCCAAGAAGCCGAACAACATTTGGCTGAATATCAAAGGCGTTCGGGGCAGGCGGGGTAACATTGGCAAAGATGTATTTCGGCCCTGTCGTGATCATGCACCTTACACGCACACGACAAAGCACCGAGAACAACAATGATCGATTCGACTTCGACTCCACCTGAGAACAATTAGCCTCCACCTGAGAACAGCACGCTTTCACATCCAGCGGCTCTGAAGGAGGCAATGACCCTGAGAGCCAGGATTCAAGCCAGGTGGCGCCCCTGTCAAGCTTGAACAGTGGATTCCGTAGGGCCGGAGTGTACTTGAGCAAGTTGTTCTTGAGGTCTTCCGGAATCTCCCGCTTCTCGGCCAAACCTTCACAAAGAGTCAACCCCTTCAAGCTCTCGTCTGGCTCATACAAAAGCTCAACCAATAGGTCAACAAGTGCCCAAGAACACTCCAGGGTCCAGCCTACAGGCAAACCAACCGGGAGCCGCTCAAGCGCCAAACGGCGTGGATACAGGAGAAAAGTCTCGCTGAAGTCGGGGGTCGCCATCCACTGCTTCGTCCTGCTGCAAGAATACGCATGCCAGATCTATGCTGTCACATGTGGTTGATGTCCGTTTGTCCGTCGTCAAATCAAACCTAGAGTCATCTCCAGAGACATTGTATTGCAAGGAACTCGTCATCCAATTCACAAATTGAGCTCAATAAAACAAGGTTTGGCGACTGGTCTGGCGGTCCTCAAAATGACGTCATCCGGGTGTTCAGCGTAGGCTGTCCAGTGTGTATTGGGCACTTCATGGCTTTCCAATCCTTTGCCACTGAAACTTGTTCTTTTCAATCAATAAGCAAATTCAAGAACCTAGAAAGTTAAAGGATTGTTTCACTCTGTGTAGTGAGTCTTTCAATTCCTTTGGCGGCGTTGCGCAACCCCTAGCTTGGTCCTGAATCCGCACGCCGTTGGAAGCAAAAGTAATGTGGAGCGCCGCTGCCACCAATGCCTGTCACCCTGAATGGCACAGCTTCGGCCAAGAAGCCAGACCTGCGCAACATATGAACAACGATTAAGTCGGAAGTGGAAGCCACTCCCTGAAGAAGCATAAACAAATAGACACACACGCTAAAAATACACGACAATTACTACTCTGGACTGCCAAACGTCCAATCTCTCACTGTGTCCATGGTGACAACCAGCCGCTCAGTCTCGTGAGGAAATTTGGTTTTGTCCAAAAACTCGCGGATGGTTTGCACAACGTCACTTGGTGTTTGTAATGAGCGCTTGCGTAGGAGATATTTACTCAGCCAGCCAAAGCACTGGTCAACATCCTCGTGCGTATGGCCGCTGCGAAGGTACTGAACTGTCAGTGAGGCGATGTTTCTGGACGACACCTCCCAGCAAAAAACGTGGCCAAAAGTGAATCAAGTGGTTTGCAAAAAGGTTAGTAACACTATAGATTGTATTATACAATACATTACAAAAGTACGTTAATTCAGTTGAACACCGCTGCTCCAAAATTTTGTCTGCCGCTCCTGGGACGCGGCCCATCTCAACCCATTGTTATTTTTAAACTCTCTAGCAGTGTTGTCGTGCTGCAGAATGATGTGGGTTGAAGAAAGGCACAATCCCTGTCGCTGGAGCACGGTGAGGGCAAAGCTCAAGATTTCAGTGACCGAACTACCGTCCTTCTTGCAATCCGGCGGTGACACAACGAAAAGTACGAAGCGTCCGTGTGCAATGACGCACGAAATGTGCATCCGTACCCCCATCATGGACGCAAATTCCTTGGACTTGAGGCATGGGTCACGTGGCAGCTCAAATTTTGATTGGTCCATTCCGTCGCAGATCATGCACACGACATTGCCTCTGCTTCGGGAAATGCCCCGGGTGTGCCAGTAAACCAGGCGGTCGGAATACTGATCTTGCAGGTGTCGGTGCAGGAACTGCAATTGCGCGCGTCTCGCCGCTAAGTGACCCCCCAGGTGCCTCACCATTGCTCTGTGCCTCACGCATGTGCCACAAAGCGCGTGCTGACCCCTTTCTCTGAATTGTAAGAAGCTGAAGTCAGCCAACCATACCTTATTCTGCAATGTGTGAGCACGACGTGCCCAAGTTCAAGAAATGTTGAACAGTTTTTAAGATTCAAACCACCTGTTGTTGATCTTTCAGTGGAAGCCTTTCAATGGTGTTGGAAAGAACAAAGGGTTCTGGAGCTTCAATCTTCGACTGTGATGGGAACTTTGAACAATCTTGTCGAGAAGCGCGCCAAAACGTTGGAAAGCTTGCAGGGCGCTCTAAAGGCGAAGCAAGGCGATACTGTTCCCAGTACTCTTTCATGGGCGAGGGCGGGAGCTTCCGAACTTCAAACCCACCTGGACGTTCAGCAGTACCAGGCAACCGGTCGCTGTTCAGTCTAACGCCACGACGCATCTTGCGGGGCTTGGATTTCCGAATCACTGTGGGGCCAGTGGGCGCACCAGACTCCGGAGCTGCAGCTTCAATGCCAGCAGAAGATTCAGATTCCTTGTTCAGCTCAAGGGCATACGCATCCTTCAAAACATGAACATTGTTTTCATCGAACGCATCATCCTTAATGTCCGGAAGGACTTCTGCCACCGATTCATACAAATTCGATAAGTACGACGCCACATCAGCCCTCACATCCTCCTCGACTCGGCCCTTCTTGTCCGAAAACTGACCCCGCGCCAAGAATCTCAAATCAACTGGAGCTGTGTCAGCTCCATCCATCGCCGCAGTGTACAGTCGTTTGGTCCGACTATTACCTTAGATTACCAACCCTTGAACGAAAACTAGAGGTCAAGTTATTAGCTAGCAGCTAGTTTGAAGTTAGGACCTGTTGCACCACATCAATTAACCGCAAAGTCAGGCACCCATATTGCGCAAAGACTTCCACGCACGCCTGCAAGTGTGTAGGCCTTGAAAACTCCAGCTTACGTACTTCTCAGAATCCTCCGACTCGCGGACCAACTCCTTCATGCGTTCCATCACCTAGCCCGAACAACAAATGGATTTGTCTTTCGGTGAAAAATTGAAAACAAATGAGGTGCCACATGTCCACTTGGATTGGGTCATGGAAACGGACCCCCCCAAGTCCCGTTTGGCTCCTCCAAAATACTAGGTCTTTAGCAATTGGTGTAAGACTTGGGGGGGTCCGATTTCATGGCCCAAACCAAAATGGAAATTTGCCAATGTGAGCCATTCTTGCCAAATATTCAGCCCTCGCCAACGAAAGCCAAACAAGAGACGAGGGGCAAAGTTGTCTGCATCCATCTTCTCCAACTCAAAAAAGTGTCGTCTGTATTCAAGCACCGTCGCGAACCGTTCAGGCGGTCTGAACTGTTGTAAGCATGTCTTCTTGTTGCAAGCACACTGCTTTGACAAAAGTAGTTTGAGAGTCTCTTCAGATTTCTGATCAATTGCGGGCGGTTCACCTCTCTTCCTCTTCTTTGGTGCAGTCTTGGGAACCAAAGGAGCTTCTGACTCTGGTTCACTGAGGCTGTCTACGACCAAGCTCTTGGGCATTGCAGCCCGCAGCCCCACAGCCTGCGATTGAATGCTGAAAAGTTAAGAATGCCAAACACACGTGACCTGTTTGCAAACACACCTTTCTATGAGGGATGAACAGTTTGTTTTTATTTCCTTTTGACGTCTCTGGGGTTTCCACGATGGCCGAAAGAAGGCAACTTTTGCAAGGAAAAAAGTTAGCTGACTGCGCCAACTGCAAAACTCCTTGCCTTCAAAAGCAAAGCCAACCACCGGCACCACCGTCACCACAACCTTAAAAAACAGCTTCCGAGACAACTTGTCACACAGAACACATACGCTTCAGAAGCACTGTCATCACGGAAACTGCACTGGGTCGCTGCACCTCACTCTGCAAAATGAACGGTGGGCAAAGAGCTCGCTGGCGCCGATGACAAAGGCCTGAAATGAGGAATGTCGTTTGTGCCTCTCCTACGCCAAACAAGTTCACATTGAAAGAGAAGAAGCGCGCAACAGGCCCGTGCCTGTCAAGCAGCACACGTCCCGACGCTGATCAGTTCATGGCCACAGTTTGAAGGCAAAGAAAGTTGCAACAATTGTTTGCCATTAATATTGGAATTAGCCAATGTTGGTGGTGTTGCAGCCATTTCTTTCAATTGTGGATGTAACATTCAGTTACCTGATTTCGTTAATGACAACAACAAACTGGTTACAGTTGCTAGTTGTTGCACGTTCTTGTTGTTGGCAGCCACTTACAAAATGATCACCAAAGAATGGCTAGAGGATGCGAAGAACAAGCTAATCTCTCGCCACGCTCTCTACGAAGATGGATGAACAACCTGCATCCAGGAAAAACTGATCATCTTAGGCCTTGGGGTATGTTGTATACACGTTTGCTCACCTAACTTCTAAACCCCTTTGAAAAAGGTCGCTTGCAGGAGGCTGTGCAACGCGCACTTTTGGTGGCAGCACCAGCTTGTGGTCCTGGTTCCTAGCCATGTGCCACTGCAGGGGCACTCTCCTTGAGGACAAGCTTGACCTCCTCCACTTCAATGTGGGCCGAGAAAGAGACTTGAGACAAGCAGGCCAAGTCTGCCGGTTCAAGACATGTGCCAAACAGCACCTGACCGTCATGCTTCCATTGCGCCACCACGTATTCCACAAGTGGAGCACTAGCCCCGACGTTGTAGCGTTTTTCATCGAAGTCAGTTCGCATTTCCAAAGGCATGGGGGGTCAGCGCTAAATCTCTACCTTTCACTTGATAATCTACTCAATGTGAACCGTGAATTGCTACAGATGGGGCCTGCTACATGTCTTCGTTGTTTCAAAGGTTGCAGGTGCAAACTAAACCTCAAGCAACAAAAAAGGAACACCGCCGCAACTAGACTGACTGCCAATCCACCGCGGAATGCAAAGCTTTTGCGCGATTTCCCCGCTCTGAGCCGTTTGCACCAGTCTGGCCTCCAATCACCTCGACACAGTCTCACCACATGAGTCGGGGTAGGAATATCAAAAACCTTGTGTTTTTCCTCGGCCTTCCATTGTTTTGCGCATCCCTCTGGACCGTTCTTCCTGGCGTTTGCTGAACACAACTCAATCTTGATTGCTGGCCCGTAACGTTTGCTGCGTAGTCTCACAGCCTACGAGGGCAAACTTCTCATGACAGGTCAGCACGGTCATGACGAGTTCTGGCTGGTGGCCATCAATCCTGCACCAAACATTGGATCTGAGTTCGGTTTCGAAAAGAATATCAGCAGCACTCCAAAACATGGACCCCGAACAATTAAGAGAACGATGGCCCGAATTCAAACACAAGAATCATAGACCCCAGTCCTCAGGTACAAAGAATGCAAGCTGCTCACATCTTCGGGCGTCAGGTCATCATGAACACTGATGATCAAGGGGTGACATCTCAAATCAAAGGTTTCAGAGTAAGCGTGCACAGCCAACGAAAGATCGAGTTGGACCATCTTCATGGCAAAATCTTTGGTAACGGTGGCCATCACATCAGTAAAGAGCATCCTGAGCCAAGTTGGTGCGCCTTCGCACAATTGGGGGACGCTGCAAAAAACTCTACACAAAAGGATCATTCATCAAGTTCAAGAACTCGTGATCTTGATGTTTGAGACAACACATCACCAGTTCCCTGCGCGAGCGACCGCATTCCACATTGCTCCCAGCCAAGGAACCGAAATTTCCAATCTTGGCCATTCTGTGGGTCAGCAACTAGCATGTACCCAAATCCACCGGGTAGCTCTGGGCACTCTACCTTTTGAACATGGGTGTAGGCTAGAAGCAAAAAATCTTGGCGTTCCATCAGGGGCAAAAGGTCCCGAACAAAGTCAGCAGTGGTTGGCTGGAGCCGGGTTGGAACTGGATCGCCGCTGGACGGGTCAAACGAGACCCTTGTGAAGACAATGTCGGAGGACGGCATCAACTCTGCCAAGGCATCCATAGAGTCTCAGAGGAAGACTCGCGACAGTTTAAACCTAAACAAAACTGCAGCATGCAAGTAAGACTTGGCACCTCGTGAACTGCAATACCCTTTGACCTAATACTAGCTGATCAATCTTGGCCATATCCCGCGAACTGCCAAAAAAAATTTCCACTGCCTAATTCCAAATTAGTCCGTCAACGATTGCGTCGCAAACTGAGCGGACCGGGGCCGCATTTATGAAACGCGACCCCTTCCTTCGACTCTGCTTCTGGCAATTGGGCTACAATAGAACTTGTTCAGTTGTTCAATACACCCGCCTCTTGTCTTTACAAGCTAGACAGTCAATTACTACACCTTTTCAAGTAAGTTCACTGGACCACAACTGCCTAAAGTTCCATGAAAGAATTCAAAATGTGGGCAGCCATAGAGGCCTGCTGGGGCGCTACGATGTTGCCCAGGCAACTCATTCTGTCCTTCGTGGCAGGATCAGTAGCCCTCTTGAGCCACCGATGAACTGGCACCTCGTTGGCTTCATTCCAAGGTTTCTCCAAGAAGTAGCGCACGTTGATGTCCTGGCAAAAGGACACACAGCAGCGAGTGCACGAGTTGAAGGTTTATGTCCTTTGCGTCCAGCGGCCAAGGGGACGGGCCACCATCGTGAATCAAAAGAAAAACACGTCCACGTCCAGCCTCAGAGCGGGAGGCAAAAACCTTAAATTTACTTTGAATGCGGATTTATTGGAAACAAAACTGACCAACTCGAGCTGCTCGCTGGCAATCCCACGTTCGCCAAACACAATGAAGTCCATGAGAGAACCAAGTCCCTCTTTTCGCACTCCTGTCAACTCGATTCAAGTTAAAGCTGTTACAGGGGAACTTGAACGCAGCCTCTATTCAAAAAAGCTCGACTCATCCAGGCGCTGACCTTCACCAGATACCAGAATAGGTCTCTGCAGCCCTTCTGCAAAGAGAGAAGGGCTTGAACGTTTTCTAAAAACATCATTCGCCTCAATCAAATGGAACAGCCAACACTGCACAAGGAGTGAAAGCTACTGATACTTGACAGCCATATATCTACTGCACTAGGGGCATGACACCGACTCACTCTCATCATATATGCGGAACAGTTCCCTGACAAGCGAGCTGCGCACGTCACGCAGCCCCGCTTGGGCTCCAGCTTGGGATACTCCCTGCACACAAAGAAAACGGTAAATTCAGATGTCACGTCAATTCGCAAACATCAACGCCTTTTGGCTGGGCAAAGTCAAAACCGTGCCAACTACGTCACGCGTCACATCAAACACAAGGCCTGACACGGGAACCCACCAACGATGGCCCCAGCACGACGCGCAGCGGAACTTGTGGGGTGGTAAGTCTTCACATCTCCATGGATGTGGCCGGTAGGCAAGTTGCCTTCCGCCATCCTCGCTTTCAATACAGCCTGGCAGACTGGGCTTTGCTCGATGTATTCCACAGCCTTGTACCTGGCATCGCCAGGAACCACAGTGACAAAATCTTAGTCTGCGCTCCGGCTATTGAAATTCAGACCTGAACGGACCACATCCGTCCCCCGAAACTGAACCCTTCAGATGAACCACCGTGCGACATTCAAGCGGTTATATAGGTCCTCTCTCTTTCCAAGGGCCGCATGTGTTTTTCTCAGCGGCAAGAAGTTAGGTTCTGGGACGCTTTTTGGGCGGCTCTAGCTGGCCAGCCGCAGGTTGCCGCAGGGAGTCCTGAAAGTAACAACAAATATATATAAAATATATGGCAGGCTTGACTCAGCGGCAAAAAACTTCCTTGACATTTTACGGTTTGAGCTGTGGCTCCGCAGTGTCTGTAGTTTGGCGAGGCCTAGTACTAGGCCTGTTGTTGGTGACAGCATCTGGGAGAGCATCGTTAGCCGGAGCGTACTCAATCCAGTGATTGGTCTTCCACATCCACCTCACAAAGTCAATATTATTGATAATAAATCGTAGTAATGCTGCGAGGAAAAACTCTGAAGTTTGCACTGGCGCCGAAAACCAAGCCAAGAAGCAAAGAATTGTGCCACCGGCACAGCACTACTGCATCTCTGGACACCCTCAGAAAAACAACCAGTGATTTTTGAACTGTTGTATACTATCATGCGCGAAAGTAAGAACTAGCGCGGCCAAAACTCTTCACTTGATTCACCCCAACGGTCCGCACTGTTTGCAAAGCTGGTGCGTTGCTGCGCTCCATGGCGTTGAACAGAACAAATGAAAGGAAGAATCATCTAGCAGAACTGTGTGTGGCTAGTAAGTATTATAGGAGTGCCAAACATTGGGTTACTGAGGCCTCATGAACCTTTCTTCCACGTGGAACCGAATTCATTGATTGACTGCTGGCAACAGCCAATATTATGAATCAGCAAATGAAAGCGATAGAAGCTGGACAGAAGCAAAGCGGCTGACTCATTGAAGGAACCCTGTTCAAACAAGACAGGCCCACGACGAAAGTCCGACTTCTAGTCCTCCAACCCCACTAAAGACTGAAATCGCATCGATTGCCGCCGCCTCCCACATCCAGGGTGCACCGACTCAGCCTACTTTGAAAACGAAATCCAGTTGCAATTAACAAAAATTAGTTAGTCTGACCCCGCCTGCGATGGAAGAGTCAGGCCGGCCAATCTTTCTGACTTCACCGACCCGGGTGTAGGGCACGTCCAGCCCAAAGGCAATCCACTGAAGTATTCAGCAGTCTCTATCCCTACAAATCGGCCTTCTTCGCATCCTTTGTCACGAATGGCAGTCTGGTACATTGTGGAGTGCTGGATCTGGTTTCCAAGGTCCTCAAAAAATAGATTTCTGCTTGACTGATAGGAGTGAAATGAATGATTGACCAAGCCCTTGGCGCCAATTCCTCTCACAGACACCTCTCCCAAACATGCTGTCGTTGATGCTGAGAAACATCCTCGGCCCAAGCCAGAATTCATTTTCAAAATTATTCCATAATACGCGCCACTCTCAGAACCTGGCGTATTGTTCCATACCGAGCGATAGTCTTCTCTCCCACAAACTTAGTAGCGCCGTTCTCCTTGACGCCGGCTGCGCGGGCCTTGCTGACCTCATAACACTGAACACCCACCACCTTTCAATTCAATGCAAAGAACATGAGGCCAGAACCAATCTCAAGTTCAACTTCGGGCGTGTCTTCAGAACCAAATTCACTCGGTGCAAGCGCTTCTTGACGATCCAGCCGCTACGAGGCAACTGGCCAGGACGGGCTGACAAAATGATTCAAACAAGTTGGAAGCTGGACCCCACCTTCCACCCCTTCTTGAACCTTCCGAGTTCAATCGTCTTGATTGCAGCCTGGGAGAACAATTACCGTTTAAAAACGAATTCTCTCCCAAACATTTTTAGCGCCCGGCTGTTGGTTTCTTCTTGGTTGTTTTCATGACTTTCTGAGCCTTCCAACATCTTCCACGAGCGAAAAACACTTGAAACGCGAACCCTTTAGAATACTTTAGACATAAAATTTGCCTTATTTCTGGAAACCGGCTTTGAAGGCACCATCATCTCATCTTCGGACCTCAAAATCAGTCCAATTTACAAACTCAACTCGTCCACCATGGGTTTGGGCCCGGGCAAATTGGTGATCTCGTTGCTCAACGGCATTGCGTGTGCGTCGACTCTGAGCAAAAAAAACTGCCCGCCCCTGGAGCGGGCATGAGTACATGGAAAAAAACGCGCCGCTCCCCGCGTCGGACAGCGCAACTGACCCCAAACGGGAAGACTAATTAAATTACAGTTCAGTGACAAGTTGTGGTGATCAAAAAATAGTTCAGACGACATTCTCCCTGAAAATACGCACAGACTAGACACGCTAGTTTTGTTTAGGGTAGTATACTAATTTCATGATACTGTTACTGCTGTATTTTTGACGTACTTTTTGAACAGGTCCCAATGTGAGAGGCCATATACATCAAGCACGCAGGCCAGTGGTCAGGCTAGCATACGCAGTACTCAGTATGCCAAATTGCTGTAGCTATCACTCAGGGCAATACTCAGTATGCCAAGAGGCTGTAGCTATCACTTCCCACAAGTGGAGGACCCAATTCACCACAAGGACCCGATTGACAAGAAATTTCCTTATTTTGCAAATCTTTGGTTCAGGACCTCCAACGATTGTCGAATGCTT